ATGATATAGGTGGCAGTTAGACAATTTTTTTTTTCTGCAACATAAATTTGAGCAAGTTTATTATTTGACTAACTCATAACGGATTTAGCGGTTTTATTGCCAATTTCAAAGGTTTAATTGGTCAGATTAATAAATTAAGGAACGTAGATTGTCATTGCTTCATATAACATCTAAAAGCAAAAGCAAAAGGCTCAAAAGTTGATAAGGAACGTAAAAAAAAGCTTTCATGTCTGCACATCGCAAGTCACAGAGTCACGAGCAACTTTAAAGAGATAGTATGTTCACTCAAACAATGCACGTGAACTACTGTTGTTAATTCTTATTCATGGCGACCTATGGCACTGCTCGTGCCTCGTGGATCTTATGTTAATACTGTTAAACCAATAAATTAAAGGGTAGCATGCAACTCTGCACCTTGGGGATCAAAGGCTGCAGCTTTCAATGTTTGACTGCTTCTTCTTTTATTATTATTATTATTATTATTTTAGATTATAGTATTTTATCATTTCGTTATGCATGATTTCAAAGATTATACTTTATAGTTTGGGATGGGAATAAAATTTTAATTCTCCGTACTCGAAATTAGTCTATTAACCAATTTAAAGAATCAAAATTTATAGAGATATACGAGAGAATCTACTTGTCTCGATAAGATAATTATAGTTGCTATTAAAACAAATTAAATAATAATGAGTATGTTTTGAAATAAAATTATAATTTTTTTCAAGTTAGATTTTATTTTTTCATTAAATGAGTGAATTTGAGTAATTAGATTAAGAGTAAATACTCTTTTTAGTCCTTGGCAATATCCACGAAGCCCTTTTCAGTCCCTAACAATAAAAAAGGGACAAATTGGTCCCCAAAATAACAAAAAAGAGGCCACGTTGATCCTTCTGTTAACTCCCACGTAACGGCCCAACTAACGGTGCCCATTTGGCACGTTAGTTTGCTGACGCGACTTGGATGTGGTATAGCGTGGAAGAAGAGACGACGACATTTTGTGAATGGCATGCTTCTGAACATGATACATGATAAACTAACGTCGTCTGTTCAGAAGCATGCCGCCATTCACAAAACGTCGTCGTCTCCTCTTTCACGTTGTACCACATCCAAGCCGTGTCAGCAAACTAACGTGCCAAATGGGCACCGTTAGTTGGGCCGTTACGTGGAAGTTAACAGAAGGATCAACGTGGCCTCTTTTTTGTTATTTCAGAGACCAATTTGTCCATTTTTTATTGTTAGGGACTGAAAAGGGCTTTGTGAATATTGCCATGGATTAAAAATGGTATTTACTCTTAGATTAACATAGGCTCTATTTTAGTGTAAGAGTTTAATTGATTAATCTACCCATAAATTTAACTTCATTTTAAAGATGGGTTCGTTTTTTTAATTGTAAATGCAGATAAGTTATTTACATTGAGTACAAAATTATGTTATTTTGAGACAGAAATTAAGATATTTTTGTAATTTTAATCTATTTCAGGGTTATAATAGTCTTTATCATTATTAAAGTCTATATATATATATATATATATATATATATATATATATATATAGGATTTATCGAATGTACAATGAATGCACCTAAAGATTGGTACAGTGATATAAAACTACGTCGTTTTATAGTGCGAAAGCATTAAATATGTGGAATCATAACCATACAAAGATGGAAATAAATATACAACATTAAATGTGGAGAATCATAACCATACAAAGGTGAAAATAAATATAATATTTTCATTTACTACAATTAATTTTGAACGCGAACTTCCTTTATCTTACTTAAAATGATGTAGTTTTTAGGTGACTGCACCAATGCTTATTTACCGTCACATTACAAATCATTTTGCCATATATATATATATATATATATATATATATATATATATATATATATATATATATGAGAGATTTTTATTCAAAACAAAAGTGAATAATTTCAACCACCTTTAATTAAAATAAATAGTTAAATTTAGGGCCCGTTTGGATGGGCTCTTTCTCTCTCTAAAAGCTGTTTTTTTTTCTTGAAAAAAAGCACTTCTCAGTTTTAGTTCATTTTGATGTCTGCTTTTAAAAAAAGAAGAAGTCACAAAAAAGCTAAAAAAACTACTTTTTTCAGAAGCTAAAAATTTTAACTTCTAAAAAAAGCAGAAGTCAAAAGTCAATTTTTTTTTTAAAAAAACTAAATATTTTTATAAAATATAAATAGCTTTAACTTTTGTAAAAAGAACTTCTAAAATAAAGAAGAGATAAAAGTAACTTTTTTTATAAGGTGAAACAAATGAGCTCTTATAACATTTACACTTTATCTATTTTGTTATAAAGTCCAAGAAATTTTTTTATTTTTGACAACCTTGCTCATCCAACAAACGAATTGAACGCGCGACCCATGGTCGTGGATTTGATGATGGGTCCAATTCAATTGAAAGCTATATCATTATCCTATCTCACAACAACCATTCAGCTTTTCGAAGTGGACTAAAAATTTAATGGACTACACATTGTGGTGCTTCCGAAAGTGTTTTGGCAATATTCAACCGTAAGGTTAAGCATGCCAGCCTTGCTTATAGAACAAACAGAAAAAAAAATTTTAAAAAAATGCAATGGCGAGAGTGAGTTATACATTTCTATTATTTACACGTTTTTTTTTTATCTCTAACTTTTAATTTTTCTTTTTCATACATTAATTATGAAGCTATAAACGAATAACTTTCTACATAAAACTCAAATATAAAGATTGGTATATTCTTATTTTAATTAAAAATATGAATGACCACAAAAAAGAAAAAAAAAAAAAAAAACCAAGTAACTCTGTACTGAATTTTGGGAAGGCGGTGTTTTTTATTTAATTATTTTGTATTTTTCTTCCTTTCAATATGACATTGTATGATTATAAAAAAAATTATATTATAAAAAATAACATTAATATTAATTAAACTTAGTTGAAAATATATTTATTTAATGCTTATGTCAAAATAAAATACATCATCAATTTTAATTTTGAAAAGCTTAAATCTGATAAGGATGTGTGGGCATTAATTATTAAAGAATTAGAAATATACCCAAAAAAAAAAACACTGATTTTTGTTTTGGTACAACGAATAAAAGTACCGATGTTATATTTGGTATGCTGACTGATGATTAACATATAGCATGTAGTTTAGCATGGTTTTTCAATTAGTATGGTTAAATTTAACATACAACATGTAAGATGGAATTTAATAATCAGTATAATGTAGTTAATCTTATTTTTTTCAATGAAATTTAATCTCTTTTTTTTCTTAACATATATCATGTATCATGTATTCGATCAGTTAAGTCAAATAAAAATTAACATTTAAACACTTAAAAGTAAATGATTTCAGGGAGATTAAGTGACAACAAATATTAGCAAGCGATAAAAAAATATGTTTTTAAATAATATGAGAATATGATATGCATGTGTTTTATATTCTATTTTCTTTGATTGAAAAATAATATTTTCTCTAAAAACCAAATATCAATATATTTTTTTTTTTGGAATATAGAGGATTAGATAGACTAGCTAAATCAAAAGGTTTTCAGTCTACCAAAAAAAAAAAAATCAAAAGGTTTTCATATAAATATAGGATTATACTACGGTTATATTCTATTTAACTTAACCAAGATCTATCTTTTATGTGTCAGCCTACTTTATCTACCATTCCTTTCTTGTAATTAATCTTATATTCTCGTTGAACTTAGAAGAAGAAGAAAATTGTGAAAATGGGGAAAATATAAAAAGCATAATAATTTCAACAAAGAAAATATTATATATAAAAATGTTTGAACTATCTTATCCCAAAAGTTATACACATTTCAATTTTTTCTAATAAATAAATCGGTTTTGGTAATTTTGACAACATTTTTTTTGTTATGGTTATAAAATAAAAAACTAAATCTGAAAATCATCATGAAAAAAAGTTAACTTCATTTGTAGATAAAAGTTGGTATCTACACTCTTCCTCATTTCATTGAAATGTTGCCCATAAGTAGGCTCAAAATTACATATAAATTTGAATTAGCAACAATATGTAACCAACTCATAAAATTGTAACTCCTAATAAAACACAATCAGTTTGTATTAAATACAAAAACAATCAACTCCTATTACATTAAATTCTAAATTCAAAGTGTACAATTCCTGCCTGCTCTAAATTGTATTAAATCCTAAATCAAAACGTAATACTCTAAATTAAATTCAAAATATCTGCTCTAAATTTTTTTAAATTCTAAATCAAAATGAATTATTCTAAAATTAAATTCTAAATTTAAAATTTAAAATATGTAATAGCAACATAACCTCCAATACTCTTTATTCTCCTTCAAGTTAGAGCATGTAAGGATAAAATACCCCCCAACTTGGAAAGAAAATCATGGAAGGTCGAGTGTCCAAGAGCCTCTATAAACAAATCTGCCAGCTGAGTGCGCTGTAGCAATATGACCCATAAAAATATGATTCCAAACAAAATGGCAGTCAAGCTCAATGTGTTTGCTTCTACAATATATGAAAAATATTGATCTCATGTAAATCAACTCGAATTTTCTTTTACATTAATTTTATATACCAACAAATAAAATAATTTGAAAAGACACTTTATTTTAAAATTTACAAACTTCAAAATAATAGCGTTTGATTTAGTTTCAATCCATTTCATTATAATCACTACAAGGTTTTTATTTTTTTATCTACGGAAAAATCATCCAAGACATGATGGTTCATATCATAGATATATCCATCAACGGAAAAGAATTATTTTTCATTATTGTTATTCATTTGTAATTCTGATTTCCATGTGAGTATCTGGTCTCAGAAAAGTGACCCACCCAAAGTTCCTTGAAGTGCAGCAATCACAAGTTGCCTCCATTTTCGCGTAACGAAGCTAATAAGTGAGTGGCCTTACTAAATGGGAGGGCACTAAAAGATGTGAAACACATTTACTAGTGTTTACCAACTCTCACACAACCCCTCCACACCACGCCTTAGAGCCTAGAGCCCCCCCAAAAAGCAAAATCCTCTTTCCCCTCTCTCTTCTCTATTCTATCTACTTAATTTCCTTCACCACACTACTCCATTTTTTTGCATCACCCTTAGACTTAGTTTCTGTTCTGAAACTACCAACTGCCACCATTTCCAAGGAAAAAAAAGTTCAGGTTTTTAGCATACCCATCATCACACAATGTCCAACAAGTCCCCAGTTTTTCCCATGCCAGACCCCCAACACTTCAGTGACTATGGTTTTGACCCCCAAATCAACTATTTTCAGGTCCTTCTCTTTTCTCTATATCTCCTCAATTCCTAAAGTGTCTTTGGAAAATGTTGATTTATGTGTTTGTGTCATTCTCCAAAGCAGGTATTGGAAGAAGCCATGAAGCACAAGCGTGAAACAACAAGATCCGTAGACTCCATACACTTCAAGCTTCAAAAGCCCATTTCCAAGGATGATTCTAGGACTAAGGTTCACAAGTCCAAGAAGAAACGCTGGTGGAAAAACGCTCTTCTCTTCTTCAAATGGAGGTGGACCCACACCCACCACCACCACCACAACCACCACCGTGATCACCACCATGACAACAACGACGTTCACCAAGTCAGGGCTCGGGCCTTCCGGGCCTCTATCTCAGGCCCGGTTTATTTGACCGAGAGTAGAAGTGGGTCCAGCACACCTTACCGGACCACTAGCCGGCCATCTTCCGGTCCACTCGCCGGAACTTTAACGCCGCCGGTGAAGGGTGACGTTGACATACCTTACTTGAGTCTTAGGGAGCTCACCATGGAACAACAACAACAATTGCAGCAGAATCAGAGGATGTCTACCTCAGCCATGCCCGTATACTTGGTCACTTGAACCAAACGCAATTCACATGTACACTTTTACATGTTACCATTTCTACAAAGTGAAATGGTTGTTAAATGGGTACCCTTTGATTTTGTGGATTCATTACATCTTTATTATCTGTTTTATTTTATTTTATTTTTCACCTAACTAAAGGTGTTTGTTTGATTTGATCCATTGGAGGAAAGGTTGGATCCTACTTTAGGTGTTTGTTACCCCCTTTTTATGAAAAAAAAAAAAAAGTTATTATAATGCAACTGAGCTCTCGTGCTTTTGACTAAAGTCCATTTCGTTGTTGTTAATATCTTGTTACTATTTTTCTTGTTTTCGTGTCCTGAAAACTAGGATCATGGTTTATGGTAGTTTAGTTGGTAGTTGTTACTTACACGTTACCAATATATTGCCAAGATTTGTGTCCGTTAATATGGACCACCCTCATCTTAAAGACTTAAACCATTGAGGTATATTGGACACTGTGCCATACTGTTGCTACACTCAATGAACCAAACCCGAGGGGCCCAAGCGGCAACGTATCGTGATGTGCAAAGATACAAAAGCTGCAAACATAAGGAAAGGGGAAAGGGGAAAGTGGATATATTTTTAAAAGTCATATATATGGCCGTTCATTTTATTATTTCATTGTCAATGGGGCAAAGCACAAATCAGCAAAACAAAAATGGGAACATCGGAAGGAGAAAGAGCATGAAGGGTCATTCTCTGGAGAGAAAGTCCAAATTAATAAACGGCTATAGCATGTGCATACGACATGTGACAAACAAATGGTGTTGTTACCTGGTTGCATTGCATTTGCATGTTAGTTGGACGCTCCTCTGCTATTTTTAATTTTTTTTTATTTACTAGAGATTCTCTTATGAGTATTATTTGATTTAGATTTTTACTAGCATCAATATTCTTTACATTTTAGTTTTTTGCTTTTATAATTATTTTTTGCAGGCTCATTAAATGTTTTTTGTTGTTAATAAGTATAATACTCAACACACATCATCTCAATTATTAAGTTATTATGACTCGACTTTTAACCATTGTTAGTATCTTAAAATTTGCAAAATGCAAATGGTTAAAGGATTTGAATCCTTATATATATATGAAACAATGATTATGTTATTGGATCATAATTATTTATTTTTATTTATTGCTTATGAGATAAGAGATAAAAAATATATAATTTTTAAATAAAAAATTATAATTAAATAATATAATCACATAACTATTTTTTTATACGAGAGAATTCAAACTCATGATTAAATTAGATTCAAAAGGTTGAATTCGCTTGTAAAGCTAAAAAGTAAAAAAAGGTTTAAGGTTGGATACCAAAAAGAGGTTTAAGGTTCAATTGTTGGAACAGTGACTAAAATGTCACTGTTTACCAACTTTTTTTATCACGCGAACAGTGTTATTTCTCAATATGCCACGGGACAAGTTCGCTACCCGGTGTAGCGAACTCGGTTTGCTGACGTGTCACGTTTCTAGTGGACGTGACAAGTTCGCTACCCGGTGTAGCAAACTCAATTTGCTGACGTGTCACGTTTTTAGTGGATATCAAATTCGCTACACGTGGAATCAAACTTGTTTTTAACCAAGTTCGCTACCCATGTAGGCGAACTTCATTTAAAAAAAAATGAAATACTTGTTATCCACTAAAAATATGACACGTCAGCAAACCGAGTTTGCTACACCGGGTAGCAAACTTTTTCCCGTAACAGATTGAAAAATAATACTGTTCGCATGACATTTAAGTAAAAAAATTGATAAACAGTAACATTTTAGTAAGTGTTCCTCAATTGTTAGTATTTATTATTGGTGAGTAAAGTTTAATGATGAGTGTTGACGGCTGACCAAGTCGTTTTCGGTACACTGTTGCGTGCCGTTGCTGATCTGCAATTTCGATTTCCATACTCCAAGTCAAAGTCCAATCTACCCCTACTTTACTGCAACTCTGCGTGCTCAGGCTCATGGGCATAAGGGATAAATTACCCTGATGATAAATGGAATACTATCCCTTGAGAATGGTCTTATCTGCATGTTAATTTGTATGTCTAAGGGACAACAATCAAAATAATAAGTTTTTTAAAATAAAGTATTCAAATATTACATTTCAGTAATTTTTTTGTCATATTTCATGACTCGCTATCAGCTGTAGAAGGTTCAATTTATCACGTGTTAACAGGGCAGGACCGTTTAAGGGAAAATACTTTGGTACATTAAATATATCGAATTTGGTATATCTTATAAATTTGGAAATTTTTTACCATTTTTAATTTTTTTTTTCATCACATTATAAACTTTTTCAAATTAAAAAAAAATATATATCGAATTTGGTATATATGATGTATCGAAGATATTCTCCCACACTAAGTGTTTCTAACATGTGGATCCCTATTATTAACTATAAGTCATTGAAAAATAACAAGCATGAACAATAAAGCACAAGAATTAAATGGAGGTTCAGTCATAGACCTACTTCCTCCTCAAAATCTCTCCCCCTCCTTTTCTTATTATTTTAGGGAGGTTCCATTCATCTTAAATAGAGTGTGATACAAAGAGTTCAATAATAACAACAATTTCAATTTAAACACATGATAAGGATAATCTTTATTCTTTACACTCCTAGTTAAATTTGAAATAGGATAACACTTAATCTTATCTATTCTTTTTCCATAATCTTCTACAAATTCCTTTTTACTCACAACACTCCCCCTCCAGGTTGAATCAAATATATCTATTAGATTCAACTTGGCTACTATGTTCTGAAATGTGTGTTTTAGCAAAGCTTTGGTGAATATGTCGACAAGTTGATCTTCACTACGAGTGTAGGGAGTAGCAATGATTCCTTCTTGAACCTTTTCATGTATAAATGGCAATCCACTTCTATATGCTTGGTCCTTTCGTAAAAAACTGGATTTGAGGCAATGTGAATAGTTGCTTGGTTGTCACAATGAAGTATCGTAGGTGACTTGAGGACTTCATTTGTTAAATCTTGCATTAAAGCTCGTAACCAAACAATTTCACTTGTAGTTGACGCCATAGCTCTGTACTCACCTTCAGCACTGGATCTTGCAACAATACTTTATTTTTTGCTTTTCCAAGTAACTAAATTCCCACCTACAAATATACAAAAACCTGACGTTGATTTTCTGTCAATAGGATTTCCAGCCCAGTCTGCATCTGCATATCCAACTATGTTGGTGTGGTAGTTCTTCTTCATCCATATCCCCTTTCAAGGATTTTCTTTTAGGTAACGAAGGAGTCTGTCAACCAAGTTCATGTGACCATTAGTTGGGGCATGGAGAAACTAGCTTATATAACTCACAGTGTAAAAAATGTCTGGTCTACCGATGGTGAGATATATCAATTTTCCAATCAGTCTTTGAAGTTGTTGAGGATTTGACAATTATACTCCATGGGAGTGTCTGCAGGTTTCACTGCTAGTTTTCCTGTTTCCTTTAGTAGGTCCAAGACATATTTTCTTTGAGATATGAATAGACCTTTGTTGAAAGTTGCCACCTCGATGCCCAAGAAGTATTTGAGGGGTCCAAGATCTTTAATGTCAAACTTTTTGTTGAGAAACTGTTTCAGCATACTTATTCCGTTGAGATCATTACCTGAGATAACAATGTCATCAACATAAATCAACACCACAGTTGTCAAGCCAAGGCAATGTTTGACAAACAGAGTGTAATCTGATTTGCTCCTATTAAATCCATAAGACATCAATGCTGAACTTAACTTTTCGTACCAAGCTCGAGGAGATTGCTTTAATCCATAAATTGCCTTCTTTTGTCTGCACACCTTTCCCGCCTGAGTTTCCATTAACCTGCTAGGAGGTATGCCCATATATATTTATTCTTCAAGTTCACCATGCAAAAATGCATTTTTTACATCCATTTGGAATAGAGGCCAATTGAGATTAACAACCACTGACATTAGGACTCTAACTGTATTCATCTTTGTTACAGGAGCAAAAGTCTTGTTATAATCTACACCATGTGTCTGTGTATACCCTTTTGTCACCAATCGTGCTTTGTGTCTCTCAATAGAGCCATCACTTTTCTATTTTATCTTATAGATCCACTTGCATCCAACAAAATGTTTTCCCTTGGGTAATTGGACAATATTCCAAGTTTGGTTCCTTTCAAGAGCATCTAACTCATCATTCATTGCATTCCTCCATTCAGAAATTTTACATGCTTCTTCATAGGTTGCAGGTTCGAAATGAGCATCAATAGCAGCAATGAAGGATATGTGATTCAATGAGACATTGTTATAGCTGACATGGTCTTGGATAGGATAAACAATAGTGGTGTTTGAGACAAAGTCACTGAATCTGTTTGGAGGTCTTATAATTCTACTTGATCTACGAAGAGGAAGTTGATGCACTACTAGAAATGTTAATATTTTCAACGGAATTTTTCCGTGGGAAATTATGAAAATTCCGTTGAAAAATCATTTTTCGACGGAATTTTCAACGGAATTCTGCTGTTGGATAACCCTTCGTCGAAAGGCAACGGAAATTTTTTTTCCGTTGATATTTACAACGGAATTTTTTCCGTCGAAAACTTCAACCGAATGTATTCCGTTGGAAGCCTTACTTTTTCGTCAATAAATAAAGTCATGGAAAAATATTAAAATAATAAATTTCGTTGAAAATTTCAACGGAAAATATACCCGTCAAAAAATTCTGTCTCAATTTGCAACAGAAATTAACAAAAATTCCGTTGAAATTTTTGACGAAATTAATTTTCGTTGAAAAATTCCGTCACAATTTTCGACGGAATTTAACTATAATTCCGTCTATACTTTCAACGGAAAATAATTCTGTCGAAAAGTTCCGTTTCAGTTTGCAACGGAATTTATCTATAACTCAGTCGAAAATTTCAACGGAATTAAATTCCGTTGAAAAATCTTGACCGTTTACAACGGAATGTACATAGAATTCCGTCAAAAATTTCAACGGACTTAAATTCCGTTGAAAATTCTTAACCTTTTACAACGGAATGTACATAGAATTCCGTCGAAAATAATATTTTTAATTTTTAAAAAAACATTAAATTCATA